ATACGTGCGCAAAAGCATTCACGCATAACCAAATACAAACACTCGTGTACATACACATTCATATATTTGTATGTATATATCTGTACATGTACGTATGAGGATATACATGTGTGTTTATGCTTGCTTGTGTGCGTGCGTGAATCACTATTCCTATATATATATGGGTGTGTACATGAGTGTTTGTAATTGTTTGTGTGAATGTGTATGAATGTGCATATACGGGAGAAAACATACACGTGTTTGTGCTTGTTTGCGCATAGCTGTGCATGTGTGTATGTGGGTGGGTGGGACGGCACAGCACGTGGGAACATCATGACATGTGAGGTGTGGGGACTCGTGGGTTAGACACTGGCGAGGGTCCGTCCCCCGCGACAGGCAGTTGGGCCAACACGCCGTCGGTGGTCTGTGCATGGCAGCTTCGGTGGATGTGGCGACCTCGCCTCGTCCGTCACGGCCGTCGGACCCGAGTGGGCCGGAAAGGGAGAAGGGAGTTCTGCTGCGGCGCGACGGAAGCCCGGCCACCCTGTCGATGGAATCTCTCCAGATCGTGTTCGACAGAAGATGTCGGCCCGAAGGGTGTGCCGCCTTGACGACGGACAACCGAGCCATCACCTCGGCAACCGAGTGAGCCGAGGCCACGAGAACTAGCCACCAGTTTTATGAGCTGTTGCATTCACCCTTCTCACCTTTCCCTCCGGAAGTAGGCCTCAGAGACTCTGTCCGAATGGACGAGGTCTGTGAGGCGGATCTCTCACCGCCCAGGCAGACCCTGGCCAGAGGCATCGGGTCGAGTTCCGGTTGGACCAAGATTTGGTATCCCCCATCGCCTCGACCACATCATCAGGCCATAAACAGGCTCTATCGAATTGCACAATCCTGTTAAAGGCTTTCGGCTCTCCAACCCTCGAGCAGGTCGTCAATCGGACGCCCGGAATACTGGCCAACCCTCTTCTGACTGCCCCACACCTGGTTACCGCGTTCCCCTCGGATGTTCGTGTTTTGCCTCTGTCTGCCGCTGTGTGTGTGCTCGTGTTTGTCAGTGCCCAGCTATGCACGGAACAAGGCAGTTTGTCGCTGTTAGTCGGCAAACCTTTGAACGGTCACCGACGGCTGTACAATTAACAACTGTCGAAGTGAGTACCAGTCACACACTTCAAAAAATGTACAGTTGTGAAAAGAAGACCTCCAGCCTCTCGAATAAAATGTTGCTGCGACGTACTTGGCCAACACAACTATCCCTTTTAAACGTCGTCATCATCATCATCATCATCATCATCCACAACCGCATCCTCTTCATCACCATCATT